GTTCTCCCATCATGGCAGATGCAGAACACTAGATGGGAAGAAACAGCTATTCCGTGGACGATTCCTTCAAGCTTCTAGCAACTGATTTCGACTTGTTTGTGATTGTTACTGCTCATCACGTTATACGGCTAACCACCCATCACGTCAGACGTATGACTGCTGATAAGCTGTGGTAAATGTAAAAAAGCTGAGTTGGGATGAAACGGTGCCCCGGTAGCGTAACTGGTAGCGCACTTGCCCGATAAGCGAGAGGTGCGGGTTCTAGTGCCGCCTTGGGTGGAAAGTTGTTCATAACCCAGCATTCTTCTGAAAGTGCAGCAAAAAAAGCAATTGCCAATTCCAGACAGTCAACAATTCCTTCTGCTTCTTCACCGGGTCACTCTTCAATGCATTGGCGCCGGTGCCTCCATTTTATGCTTTTTCTGAAATCAGACCCATACTTCGAAAGAAAGCAGTGGGTTGAGAGGCGAAATGCCTTCCTAGACTGATCAGTCTTGTGCGGATATCGGTTACCAGATTAACAAAGTTAAGCAGCTCTTCTAGTTTCACGTTGGTGACCTTACACAGGTAACTAAGTCAACTTCTATCATTCGAAGGTTGCGCGCTGTAAACTTACAGAACAGCAGAACATACACCTTTCTTGCCATAGGTATGGCAAGAAAGGTGTATGTTCTGCTACAGGAGAGACCATTTGTTGTTTATCTCCTTGCTCAACATCTGTAGCTCTTGACGTCTACCTCTTTGCCGGCGATTCACTTGTTCGCTAAACAAAAACAATAATAACAGAAGTGCCGGCAAAGAGTGAACAGCAGGAAGCCACAGAAACTGGAATGAGTAATTACACCAAAGCTGAGCACCTGACTTGCAACGAGAGACAGGTCATGAAATGAACGAACGTTTGATACTATTAGAGCATTTACGCGAGAAAATTTCCTAATTTTAAACATTTACAGTTTTCGTAGGAAAAAATTGTCTTTTCTTCCAATCTCTAAGCAGTATTGCTTTGTAATGAAGTATTTACAGCAGTTTATTATTAATATAGATTTTCATGAATATATTGGATTGACCACAAAAACGTTTTTCTACTTCTCTACAAATTCAGATAAATTTCGTGTGTCTGGCTTTCTTTGAGGGTGAAATTGGAAATTGCACCGAGCCTGGTAATAATATAGTATATATATATATATATTATATTTACGTCATTACAAGCTAAAATTGAGATTTTATTAAATATTTTTGTTCTGGTTGAAAGAAATAGAAAGTGCAGTTCCTATTCTTTGCACAGGCACTAATATCGTTGTATGTGTGTGTTGTGTACAAAATTTCAGCTCAATCCGTTAGCTACGAATTGATGAACGTGATGGTGAGGAAACTGTAGGTGCACTTCATGGGTATCAAAATGAAGATGGATTGTTCAGTAGGCCATGAGTTGTTTATCCCCACTATATATAATTCGCTAAGTATGACTGTCTGTGTGTGTATGTGTTTGTGTGTACGTCCGTCTGTCTGTCACGAAATTCATAGCGCCGACACCAGTGGTCGTCAGGAGTTGATTTCAAGATATGATATAGGAGTGTGGGATCGGGAACATATTTGATGCGGTATTGAAATTTGATATCAACTGACAAGGACTGATAAGAAGCGTTAGAATGCAAATGTCACGCGAAATAAATTGCATGCGTCTCAGCGACTTTGAGGCGTTGGCCCATAGTAACCTTTCATTTGTAACACCAATCAAATTCATTGAAAGCCACCTTATACACGAGAAAGGCTATTCACCGTTCTACTGAAGCGTACTTTGCCGCGATAGCGATAGGAGCCAAGCTGGTAGTAAATATCTGACATTGGCAGAAGAATTTCATGAGTTCATAGGAGCTATCCATTGAAGTGCTACATTTATACAAGACTGACATATATTCTTCATTAAAAATTGAAATTTATGCAAGCATGCGTTTCACGTGATGATATTTCAAAAATTATTAAAGCCTACGAGACATGGCACTTCTACACTTCTTGGCAATTACTTTAGATAGGAATTGCTACGCACGAGATTGGTCATGCACTGGGACTTTTCCATACCATGTCACGCTATGATCGAGATGACTTCATAACAGTCGTCATCGATAATGTTGTAGTAAGTCATCACATGCACACTAAATCAAACAAAACCATAGAACGTAAGTAAACCGTCTCAGGATAATTTTGTGGATCAATACATCCCACAGACCGAGGAAACAAGTGATAACTACGGCCTCACTTACGATTATGGTAGTATTATGCACTATGGAGCATCCAGGTAGACAAAAAAATAACACCTACCAGAGTTGAAGTAATATGCTTGATGATTTCAGTGCTACTCGCAACGGTGAACCTACAATGATAGCAAATGACACATTGTACCAAAAAACAATGGGCTCGCATATCCTTTCGTTCCTTGACAAGTCCCTGATCAACGAGCATTACGAGTGCAAAGGTACACATAACGCCAAAACGACTGCTACTCAAAAACTGCTAAAAATGTTGCTATTTAGCAAAGTGTCCGCAAGAGACCTCAGCCCCAGTGCCAGAATGGTGGATTCCCTCACCCACGAAAATGCTCAGAATGTATCTGTCCAAGTGTTACGGCGGTGCTCTTTGCAATGAGCGAGTAGGGCAAAGATGTGATAAATGAGTAAGTCGGCAGTGAAGGCTTTTTTCAGCCAGCCGGATGTCGACAAACTTTGACAGCGAAGGGTAAGAAGCA